AGAAAATGGAGAAAGACCCAGGAAATCCAAGCATGGATTCGCCACCCTTTACAGTCCCTGGAGAACTCCATGGTGACAGCTCCCTGCATCCCCCAACATTCTATGTGGCACCAAGGTTCGCATTCCTACTCCTACCACTCCACACTGGGGACAGTAAGGTCAATCACAGCTTCACATATGCTAACTTGTGAGGCAAAGGCTCTTAAGAAAAGTAGGCAGTCATGGGATAAGAGGGAGGGTCCTCTCATGGATCAATAGCTGATTAAAAGCTGGCGAACAATGGGTAGGAATAAATGGTCAGTTTTCACAGTGGAGAGTGGTAAATAGTAGGGTCCCCCAAAGATCTGTACTGGGATTAGTGCTGTTTAACATATTCATAAATGATCTTGAAAAGGAAGTGAACACGAAGGTGGTAAAATCTACAGATGATACAAAGTTACACAAGATAGTTCAAAACTGACTGCGAAGAGTTACAAAGGGATCGCATTAAACTGGGTGACTAGACAACCGAATGGCAGATGAAATTCAATGTTGATAAGTGCAAAGTAATGCACATTGGAAAAAATAATCCCAACTGTACATAAAAAATGATGGGGATGTAAATTAGCTGTTACACTCAAGAAATAGATATTGAAATCATTGGGGATAGTTCTCTGAAACCTTCCATTCAATCTGCAGTGGCAGTCAAAAAAGCTAACACAATGTTAGAACCATTAGGAAAGGGATAGATAAGACAACAAAATATCTTAACACCAGTATGTAAATCAATGGTATGCCCACATCTTGAATACTGCATGCAGTTCTGGTCACCCCATCTCAAAAAAATATATATTAGAATTGGAAAAGGTGCAGAGAAGGGCAACAAAAATAATTAGGGGTTTAGAACATCTTGCATATGAGGCAAGATTAGAAAGACTGGGATTGTTCATTTTAGAAGAGAGTCAACTAAGGGGGATATGATGAAGGTCTACAAAATCATGAATGGTGTGGAGAAAGTAAATAGGGAAGGGTTATTTCCCCCTTCACAAAACATAAGAACTAGGTGTCACCAGATGAAATTAATAGACAGTAGGTTTAAAAAACAAACAAAAGGAAGTACTTCACACAATGCAACCAACCTGAGGAACACAATGCAATGGGATGTTATGTATAACTGAATTCAAAAAATTATTAGATAAGTTCTTGATAGACAATAGCTATTACCCAAGATGGTCAGGGATGCAACCTCATGCTCCAGATGTCCCTAAACCTCTGACTGCCAGAAGCTGGGGCTGGACAACAAGGGATGGATCACTCGAAATTGCTCTATTCTGTTCATTCCCTCTGAAGCATCTGTCTCTGGTCGCTGTTGAAAGACAGGATAGCGGGCTAGACGGACCATTGATCAGAACCAGTATGGCTGTTCTTACATACTGCAGACTGCATAGCAGTACCCAAAGCACTGAGTATTTGAGTGTACAGCACCACAAAACTCACAAATATAAGAAAATATCCAGCTGGATGTGTAAACATATAGCACACATTGCATAGTTCATAGTTTCAGTGAAACGCAGTGTAATGATAAATGCACAGCAAGCGAAAAAAAGGCTTCACTAAAAGACAGTGTTATATGTATAAATGTACACCAAGCACTACACAATTCCTAACAGCCAACAAACCTTCAGGGCGCAAGTACAATTAAGTGTACCACATTAATGCAGCTGACCATTAAAGTATGCTTACAAAGTCTCCCTCAACCACGTGGAGCACAAAGTGGAACTGTCTCCACCCTCAACCCCAGCAGCAGCTTTATCTCACAGGTATTACGCAGGACACAACAAGCAGCTATCATCATTAGATCTCAGTGAGAAAAATATTCCAATCTCATGAGTAAACATTTCAATATCACCAATGATAATCTGCCAAATAGGAAAGAACGTCCCTGGTTACAGCTTTCTGTACAGTCCTATGTTCTTAAAGGGCAAGCATCATGCGCCTTCTCTGGCCAGCCAACACTTATATCAGTGAAGTGTCCCCAGTGATCCATCAACACTTCAATCATCATAGAAAAGTGGCCCTTGCTGTTGACATACTCAGCGGTAGATGAGTACCAAAATAGGGATGGGTGTGCTATTGCCCCACTACAGTTCAGAACTCAATTACTGCAAATCCATCCACTACGTCCTGCTCATTGCTGAGAGTCACAATCCTGTGTAGCAGGACGTGAATAATGGCAAGACACATTTGCATGATAACGGCCCCGCGCTATGGGCGTTACAACTACAAAATGATTTCCCACTGACTGGTAGCAATCCGACCCTGCAAGCTTCTAGAGTGCAATCACCACTCCCTTCTCCACTTTCTATGGAGCTCTCATTCTAGTGTCCCAGAGCTGAAGGGTTGGGGAAAATCTCACCACACAGATCCAGGAATATGGTCTTTTGCATTCGAAAGTTCTGCAGTCACTGCCCATTGTCCCAAACCTGCATTACAATGCAATCCCACCAGTCAGTGCTCATTTCCAAAGCTCAGAAGCAGTTGCAGCTGCTCCATAAACACCACCACCAACCATGAATTGGTTTTCACTATGTCCCTTCACAAACTGTCCTCAAAAGAAATAGTCACGTCCCCCAATGTTGCAGTTCTTCCTGCAGGTCTGGATATACCTGAGAATCATTCTACCTGTATTTGCGATGTTCATGAGCATAGGTGCTGGACCTATGGATGCTGCTGCACCCCCTGGCTTGAAGTGGTTACCATTATATAGAGGGTTTACAGTTTGGTTCTATGGCTCTCAGCACCCCCACTATAAAAACTGTTCCAGCACCCTTGTTCATGAGAACAGTAAAGACCTGTGTGGGCCCCATGCATCTGCCAGAGATGATAGGCAGTGAGAAGTACCATGTGGGTTTGTGGGACTTTTTTAAAAAGCGGAGGGTGTCAAAAATTGTGAGATATGGATAGCATTATGGGATGGAGAAAGTTGCATGTTGGAACGTGACCCCTTTTACCCAGAGATCCCTGGGTTAGTCATTTCTATCCCTCAACACATTGACAAAAAACTTTCCAGAAGGTATTGCAACAGACGGCAGCACAAGGCACACTGGGATACCTACCCACAGTGAACCAAACTGCATCAACACAAGCACTCCTGGTGAGTAAACAGAGCTAAGGCAAGCAGCCAAGCACACACATGCACAAGCAATGTAACAACTTTGGCAGCCCTACACCGCTGAGACTTGTGTTGTCCAAAGTCTGCCGTGCAGACACAGCCTTAGTCAGACACTGCGGCTGGAGATGTAATTTCCTGCTCGGGTGCACATACACACTGTAGCTTTGATTGAGCTAGTGTACTAAAAACAGCAGCGTAGCTGTGGCTGCACAGGCAACAGAACCGGTAGCCACCTGAATACAATTCTGTCAGAGACCATAGTAAGTATTCTTCCGGCTAGCCTGTGCCATGCTCGTGTTACTGCAGCTACACTGCTATTTTTAGCACACTAGCTCAAATCAAAGCTAGCACATGTATGTCTACCCAAGCTGAAAATTACACTTCCAGCTGAGGTGTAGACGTACTCTTACATGAATTATGCACCTCAAGGCTCAGTCCTGCTCTCTGAATGAGGCACTGCTTCTGCTCTTAGTTCCTCTCTTACCTCTTCCTGCTTGTGCTGCTAAGGGGAACAGGGCCAGGTTCCTGCATGCCTGGCTGTACTAGAGCCACTACAGGTGTGAAGAAGGCCCCAACAGAATAAAGAAGTGGAACATGTACCTTTAAGAAGCCACTATGTTTCTTTCTCCCACAACACCTCAAAATAAATCCACTGATTCTGTGCCATCGCTTTCCAGCAGCTGGGATCAATGCATTTATGAGGGACGATAAAAGATGGTTGCCACATCTGCCCTGTGATTAGGGAAATGACCACAGGACAGAGGCAATAGCAATTTCAAATCTTCTCTCAGCTGCACTGACATCTTTCACACAGAACTGGTGGCTCTGGTCCCTACCTGAATTCACTAGCTTCCTCTCTGCTGTAGTGGCCCCACAGGAGAGCCTGGCAATGATTCTCAGTTCAGCAGCACAGCAGGGAGCAGGAAGAGAAACACCAACCAGTGAGCTCATATAATTTTCCACGAACCAGAGCAACTTCTAGCCTCTTCCACTGTTCTTCCTCTTCTGTCAACTGATCCAGCTCCCAAGAGCAGCAAAACAGCTCAAAAGATGAACAGCTAGGGAAGGGGAAGAACTGAGCCATAAAGATGCCATTAAATAAAGGTAAAAGCCTAGAAGTATCAAAACCCTTGTCCCCTCCAATCACCACAAATGTACTCTAGATTATATCCTAGCTCACATGATGTTCTCAGAAATTCTCAGAGCAAAAAAAGATAATGCCCCTGAAAGGCAGTTTCTGGTAAAGAAAAATGAAATGGACATAATTTATATTTCAAAACACACCTGAAGATTGTCTTCCTGAAACTCAGCAGGTGGCTATGATGTACACTCAAACTGTCTTTACTTAGCCAGGACAGTTCCTCAGACCAGAGTCTTTCTGTTACAAGGCTGGTTTCCATTTGTGTGTCTTGCATGTATTGGAAGGCCTAATTATATGATTTTTAACAAGATCCCTTCCCTAATCACGAAGAGTAATTCCCACTGGTCTCTTGACTCATGTTTTTACTGTTCAATTCTTCATTCCAATATGAATACAAAACTTTTACTGACTTTGGAATCAGTACTTCACTAATTATGATTTACAAATACTGAAGTCAGTGGGAGTTGGATCAGGTATTTAATATGGATTTGGGTACCTAACTTTGACACCCATATATTAAAACCTTGGCCAATTTTTGAGCAGCTTCTCTAAAATACACACTAAATAATTAAACGTAAAAAAAGAGACAAATAAATATAAAGATGGATCCCATAACATAAAATGAATCAATTTACATTGAGTACACACTTACACACACACATCCCCTACATTTTATTGGAGCACACTACATACAAGAAACATTTTTACCTGCTGCTCTGTAAAGTATTTTAGGTTCAAAGAATATGCAGGGGTTTTTATCTTCTATGCACGACAGTAGTAGTCCTTTGGCCTGAAGAGGACTTCTTGGAATAACAACCTGTAAAAATTATTTATAAAAACTGATTAAAAATATAATTCAGCTATTTAAGAATTAGGTACAGAGATAATATTAGGTTAGCAGGCTACTCGAGTTTACACAAATACTTACATAAAATCCACTACGGTCAGGCTTTACCAAATAATTGTTTAAAGATTAAAAACAGCTCAGAACTTTTTTCCTTTTCTACAATGGGTTAAGTTTGTGCCGCTTCCTAGAAAAAAAAAAACTGACTAGAAGCAGCATGAAGGAGACTAATGATTAATATCAGGAGCAAGCAAAGCAGGAAAAACAAAACCAGGATTTTCATCTGAACATTTGCCAAACCATCACTAGCTGTTGGAAACGCTACTTGTTGCTATATGTATGTTGCGCTCTATCTTGTTCCATTTTTCTAAAAGTGCAATTGCAATTAACAATAAAAAAAATTAAAAAATAATCTTTGTTTATGCCTAATGTAGCAAAGCACTTACACACATGCTTAAATCCATTCCTCGTCAGCAACATCAGTGTGACAAAATTTAAGCACAAGCTTGGGGGTTTTACTGAATCGGGGCCTATATTTAGGAGGCTTATTTTAAGTTTAATGGTAATCTACAACTAAAAGAGGTTCTCTCTATTCTTAAATGCTACTACAGTGACCATTTGTAAATAATGTGGAAATTCCTATCTGCTACAAGACTCTTGCTTAAATTGTTTTTTCTTAATCCTGGTACGGCTGCAACGTTTATACTACAAATACAGTATATTCAATATTTAGAGAGAGACTTTAATGCACAATACTTAAAACCTTTACTAGTACTGTTGACGTGTATCATACTCAAAAGTGACACCACACAAGTCAGTCAAATTTATATCATCTCACCGTTCAGCAGAAATTATTTCACTTAATGTCAAATAGCAGCAATTGTATTGCTTTAAATAATTTTCATCCTTATTGTCTACTCATGACTTAAAGTGTGCTAACAAGGGTAGTAAAATCAAAGTATGGTACTTAAAATGCTTTTTTGGTTCTTGAAAGTATTTTCTTCCCCTCAAAATAGACTTGGAACAGTTCTCTTGTCTGCAGTGGGTCAGACATTGAGGAATTCTGCTCACATAAGGCAGTTTGGATTCTCCAGCTGGCACTTGTGCTATCATGGGAGCCCTCTTATCATTTACTTGAGAGGGGAGAACCAGAAATGGTGAAAGTCCAACAACTTTTATTAGAGTAAAACTTTATTTCACTGTAAGATAGAGGAATGACAATTGCAATCAGCAACGTGTTTTCCTCAGAGAACAGTGTTTCAAAACAAAACAAAGAGTTAATGGAATCAGGAAGTAAACAGAAAAATCCTCCAGGATGAGGTTAAACCACATCCTATAAGCCCTGTCATCCCAAAGGCATTCTTCCCCTTTCTGACTCCCAACCACTCATTCTTATAGCCCTTCCTCTGAATATCCATGCAAGGGTAGCAAGAGCTGAGTAAATTTCATGTACTCTGGGAACCGTACACCTTGTCTCTCACACTTGAGGAAACATGGTATGAAACCCAATATCAAGAGTGAATAGTCTACTAACATGTATGGCTAGTTTTTTAAAATTAGGCAGGTGCAATTACCCAACTATACAAAGGTGTGCACATACCTGATATTTGAATGCACACAAGCCATTTATTTGTATATGCACATAGCCAATTAGGTAGCTACCACACCAGGCCACCTGTATACACAGACAATTGATGCACAATTTCATTCTGGTATCTGGATGCATACATTAGATATGTGCAACTGCAGTTCTGCAACTCATGTACCCAACTTTGAAGATCTGGCCCTCATCCACCTACCTACATTGAACTGGAAGGACCTTTGATACTCAAATTTAGACTGACAGAAAAAGAAATGAAAAGGGAAAAGAAATGAAGAAGGAAAGGAGAGGAAGAAAATTACACGAATATTATAACATTCACTTCTGATTGCTGACCATTTGAGTTTGGGTTAGAAAGCACTTCCAAATATAGATGTGGGTATCAGGAAAGGCATCTGATTTCAGTAAAAAAATGGCTCAAAGACCTTAGTCCAGAAGGCATCATTAACATATGTTGTCAGAACAAAGGTACCAAGAGTCCTAGTTTCACAGAGGACTTCAGATTCTGAATACAAATGTGACAGAGCCACTTAAAAAAAAAAAATACCAGATGCCATGTGTTTTTTTTCCTACCTATTTATCAGATACATATAAAAGGACCTACAACTTTGGTATTTAAGCACCCATACCAGTTAGCAGATATGAATCTTAATAGATAATGTGAGACTGTGACATAACTAACTAGTATTATCTCATGCTAATGTTATGCCTCGCATGAAGCATATGCCTATATATGCAGAAATACCAGAGCTTAGGAAACAACTCAAGGAAAAGAATGCTTTTACAATTTTTCAGAATTTTAAATTTTTTGTTTGGTCAGGACCTCTTTCCCTACCCAAATGTCATCTGTCAGAATTTCAGATCTACTCAAATCAAGTGTTTTTAATGGACACAATAATACTAGTTATACAATAAGAAACGCGAAACCAAGTTTGACTTCACTGAAGTTTATCCAAACCCAGAACTGCCAAATACCACCTGAATCTGAATAAGTTATCAAAAATAATGCCAACAAAACTCTCTCTTGAACAGATTTAAGCAGGAATTCCCCTGCAGCTATTCCTCCAACCACCAAATGCTGTTGTGGCATCAACACCACTATCATCTTTGCTCTTCTGTTTTCGATGCTCTCCCTGCTGGTGTCCACCCAGCATGGAGCTACCAAGGAGAGTGGGGAGAAAGCAGTTGTCACCTTTTACAAAAAAACTGTAGTCCCTATTGTGCAGAAAAGTTATACAAGTTACTTAATATTACTTACAAAAAAAGTTAAAAGAACATCAAGGTAGAAAAATCAAGCATTCCAAAGTTTGGGAATACAACAATTATTACTATTGGTGTAACCTTAATACAGCCTCCTTGTGCACATGCATTGAGATACATTCTTTAATTACATGATCACATACTAAAATTTAACAAAGCAAAGCAACTGAAACAGGGTCTGGTAGGGGGAGTATTGGACAACCTTAATTATAGATGGTGCTACCAGCTCTACCTATAATAATTTGCATAAAATCATTAACTTAATTTTTTTTTAAATTGTGTATGGATTTAGTGCTGGTGAAATGTCCCCGAATAACAATTTAAGACTGTTGACATCTCAAAAATCCTAATTCAGCCTTAACTCTGAACTTAATGCAATTTAAACATTAGCAAATGTTGCGGGGGTGCCAGAAGCGTGGGTTGACTCCTGCTCAAGGTTCTTAATGTATTCTAATGTGGTAACTTTTCACTCCAAGTTTTTCTGGAAGACATGAGCGTTATCTGCCTCTGTCCAATGAGCCTGAAGACATCTGTGATCAAGTGACTGAAAAGCCGATGTGAATTTCAAGTTTACCCTGAACATTAAGCTGTTGCAAATTTGTATCTGATTGTTTTTTATGAATTATATAAAAAGTAGCAATTTAAAATATCATTCAATTTGCCTTTCAGGGAATTTGTTAACAGAACATCTGAAACTAACACAAATAATGTGTTCTGATAAGCTTATGGTGGTACTGTCTTTCCTCTTTAAATGTGCAGTAACCGTTTAAACACAGTTCTAAAATGCAGTAGGAGCCACGCGATGTAAGTTTTTGCTGTTATTCAAGAAGGTATTGTTTATGGCAGGTTGCCAGTTCATACAGGGGAAAAACATGCTATAACTATATTAGGGAGTCTTCTTTTAACTCTGGTAGATATTCAGAATAAAAACAAGAATCCCTATAATGATTACACTACCACTGTTAATTTTCTGTCTACAATGGGAAGAAAAAGACATGGAACTCAGTAGAACCACAGTTCTGTTTAAACATGATCACTTCTGTTCTGTACAGAGAACCTTAAACCACTATAGAAAGTAAGGGTATGTGTACTGTGTCATTTACTTCCAGGGTGTTCTTTTGCATGGTAAGTGAGCAAGTATTACTCTGCTTTGCAAAAGGTATTAAACGTTTCGTTCCCTAAAGTGAAGAAAATCTACAGGTTAACTAGATGTAATACCACAATTTTCAAATACCGCCCTTTCGCTCTCTTTCACAGGTTTTTAAAATCTTTCTTGAGATGACTTTTTTGGAAAAGCATGATGATAGAAGGAAATAAGGCTGACTACACACATCACCCGTTCCTTCTCCAAAGCCATTATCAAGAAAGCTTAAAAAAAAAAAGTGTATAGACAAGGTGAGTGAGGAAATCTCTTATTGAGTCAGTCACCTATTGTCAGCTGCCATTCTTTTATTTTCTGTACATGCACTATTTCAGTTGGTAGCATGTCTTTTACATTCTGGAAGAATTCTTTCCTTTATTTTTTTCCTTTCAAGGAACGTGGGAGGTTATCATTTTCTTTCCTTTAGATCAACCTAAATAACCTGTTATTCCTATGCACCCTGTTCTCTAAATCAGACACTCTTAGGAAGGGACTCACAATAATCTTTAGAATAGTCTCAACATTTTGAAGGTTATCTTGTGCTTTAATAAATGGATAAATGGTAAAAGATAAATGGGAAAAAACACCCATAACAGGAATCAGTCTGGAATGAGGTTTTTTGCATGACAAAAAGCAGCATTTTGAAAGCAATATCACTGAAAATGCCAGGTTGTTTAAACTACTGATCCATCAAAACAGAAAGATGCTTGCCGGTGGGGAGGAAGATGGGGCTGGCTTTAAGGAATTAATATTCAAGTGCCCATCTTGGATCATATCTTGAGTTGGACACCTTGCTAATTTTCTTCCCCTGACTTCCTCAGGTGTCTGTGTCCTCCCTATCTGAAGTTAAAAATACCGTATTAATTTTCGGTATTGCATTCTTTTTGGAATAGTTATCTTAACCTGATGCTTGTATTGCTGTTTGTCTTTTGTTCAGTGTTACGATACTGTTAATTCCCCGGATCTGTGCTAACAGAGAAATTTTTCTCACCAACATATGCAACGCTTCATTTTCCCTAGCAACAAAACAAAACAAAAATCAATACCCAGCTTCCTGTCTCAGTCATGAAATAATAAGAATCTGGCGGTAATAAAGCACCTGCGTCTCTTACTCTTACATTCCCAATGAAAACCGCTGTAGGGACAGTTCTACATGCTCCTGTTTTGAAGAGATTGTATGTCAAACGTGGACCAGACACATTATTTCTTGAAGTCTCTGAGACACTTCTGGGATATGATAATGAAATCCAATATACAAAAATAAAATGCATTCCCACCCTGAACCAGCTGCATAGAATAAAAAAAATGTTTTAGGTGAAGGGGACAAGGGGTGGGGAAGGGTTCCCAGCAAGAAATATTATACCTAATCTGATTCTCATGAGATACGAAAACATGTTGGGATTATCTCTGTACACCAGAGAAAACAAGGAACAGCTGTGATTTTTTTAAAATGACATACAAACACTGCTTTTGCTTCAGAAGTCTTTCAATTAATCAAGTGATGAAACACTTCCTTTGTGCTAAAGGCTGGAGGCTGTGTAACCCAAGGGTATGAACCCATAGATAAAAATTAACTTGAGAGAAATGGAGTTAGAAATGGCGATATCCTAGCACAGCAATATTTATTTGAGTTAGCCCACATTACAGTGTTTATGAAAATATACACCTAGTCAGGTTTCCTCTCTCTCTCTCTTCCACCTCGCACATGTGAATATCACATCACACATTTGGGAAGAGAAGATAAAGGAAACACACATGACTTAAAAATTATTTACTCTGCTGTTTCTTCTCTAAAAATATTGCAACCTAAACCTTACGTTCATTAATTATTGTGGTTAAGGATGTATAGAGGCATAAAAACTGGGAAATAACTGGTTCCAAATCTACTATACACTGGTATGGTACATTAAAACAAGATACCATATATGCTTACTGGGGACAAATTACGATTACCTGAATGCTGTGCATTCTCAACAACAACAGTGCACTTAATGTAGTCTTCAATTAATAGATATCTATGTTCAATACCAGATATTAACCTTAACTGCCTTTGTTTTCCTTGTCCCTTTCCTCACCTGCTCCCAGACACACAGTTAGGTTCAAAGGATTAAATTCACCCAAAAAGAGGCTCTGAACCCTATTTAGTCTCCTTTCCATAGACAGTATTTACTCATACTGTGAACTGTAAATAAAGTTTAAACATGAAGATTACTGTACCTTTATTCCTGGACAATGAGCAAAAAATGCTTCTGGACTTTGAGAATGATATAGCGCACCATGACCTACGCAACCCCATGGTGCTCTTATAGTGAGACTTCCACAATTAAAAAGATCTCCAGAGCGATACCGATATTTTGCCGCTTCATTAACAATCTGAAACAAGACAATCATCATTTAAAAATCCTTCATACACATTAGTAATATTCATTCCACTAACACAAGCCAGGTATACTTATACTGTTATACAAGCTGGAAATACAATCCAAATATTCCTGTTTCCACTACTATATCTTTTGTACTGGACCATGCTGTGTCTAAACTCTGGATGCCTTACCCTGCAAGCTGAGTTCAACTTTTAGCCTGGACCTGCACGTTTCTGATTAAATTATATATAAACATTAGTAAAGTTGCGAGTTTGGCACAGAGATTGCGGAACCCACAGATTCCGTGACTTTCCATGACCTCTGTGAAATTCCACAATTGCAGCAGCCAGTGTGCCTGACGCCAGAGCCAGACGCACCAGCCACTGCTGGAGCCACCCCCACAGCCAGTCACACTGGCTGCTGCTCAGCGGCCTGGTCCCCCAGGAGCAGCGGCAGCCCGGGGAGAGGGGAGTCGGGGGGCGGGGAGAGCAGCACTGGCCCCAGGGCAGCTAAGGTTTAGTCATGAGTATTTTTAATAAAAAGGTCACGGTTTCCTAAAAATACCCATGCCTAATCTTAGCCTTAAACATTAGTAATACTCATCATTGTGGACGTATTTGCAAAAATCATAGTATAAAACTTGGTTTAGCGGATTATATTTTCATCCATCAGAAAAGCCACTCTCAACAGGCAATTTGTTTCCCTTTACTTCCCCAAACAACCTATGATAGGTACTAACCTGATCAAATGCTGGAAAAATGTAGTCTGCAAATTGAATTTCTGCAATTGCTGTAGCTCCAGCGACTGCAACTCCAATACCAAATCCCACAATTCCTTGCTCACACAAAGGGGTATTGAAAACTCTGTCTTTACCTATAAAAGAAAGAGCTCTTTTAAATACACCAACCTGCAAAAAGAAAACAATTCACCTTTTGTCCCCATAAAGTATACAATTTACAATATGCCTAATAGATTGACAAGTACATAGCTCTATGGATGGCTTGCATACACCTATAATAAGGGTTTACAACGCATTTACAAACATTAGTTAAGCCTCATAAGTACACCTGTAATGAAGGGAAGTATTATTACTCCCATTCCAGAAAAGAGTTAAAGCCACTTGCCCAAGTTCACACAGTGAAAGAGCTAAATCAGAGCTAATTTCCAAGCCCATGCTATAACTGCATAAGCCCACCCGCTCACATGTTGAACTGCTATCTTTGAGGCAGGTCAAACTACAAAAAGGAGAGACCATAGTCTAATTCCTGGTGCACCAATTAATAGAAACCAAACTCCTAGAGTATAAAATTCAAAGCACGGAGTGGAGCACAGGTGCAATGACGAAGCGGTGGTATCGTGCACTGATACGCTGGGCGGAAATAGGCTTCTTATCCATTGCATCAAGTTCAAGTTACTGTACTCATGGATCTTCACAGCTAGAACCCTTCTTAATTGGCCACCCTCATCCTCTATTGCATTTCCCCCACTCAGTGATGTAAAACTGGTCTACTTCTCCCATAACCATCTTTACATGTTTCTGCAAACTGCCCCCAAGAACAAAACTACCCCCCTGAGCTGATGTAGAAGGCCACTACCCTCTCCTCCTTCAATTCCCTCTTCAATACCCATCTTAAAAAAAAAAGAAAAATACTTTTAGTCATCTAATAAAGGAGAGCATAACATTGTCTATCAAGCATTCTTACAACTACAATACCCACCTGCGGAAGTGAAGAAACAGATTGATAGAGCCAGAAGAGTTCCCAGAAGTCTCCTACTACAGGACAGGCCTAACAAAGAAAATAACAGAACGCCACTAGCCATCACCTTCACCCCCAACTAAAACCCCTCCAAAGCATTATTAAGGATCTACAACCTATCCTGAAGGATGACCCAACACTCTCACAAATCTTGGGAGACAGGCCAGTCCTTGCCTACAGACAGCCCCCCAACCTGAAGCAAATACTCACCAACAACCACATACCACACAACAGAACCACTAACCCAGGAACCTATCCTTGCAACAAAGCCCATTGCCAACCGTGCCCACATATCTATTCAGGGGACACCATCATAGGGCCTAATAACATCAGCCACACTATCAGAGGCTTGTTCACCTGCACAGCCACCAATGTGATATATGCCAGCATGTGCCAGCAATGCCCCTCTGCCATGTACATTGGCAAACTGGACAGTCTCTATGTAAAAGAATAAATGGACACAAATCAGATGTCAAGAATTATAACATTCATAAACCAGTTGGAGAACACTTCAATCTCTCTGGTCACGCGATTACAGACATGAAAGTTGCGATACTACAACAGAAAAACTTCAAAACCAGACTCCAGCAAGAGACTGTTGAATTGGAATTCATTTGCAAATTGGATACAATTAACTTAGGCTTGAATAGAGACTGGGAGTGGCTAAGTCATTATGCAAGGTAACCTATTTCCCCTTCTTTTTTCCTCCCCCCCCTTCCTCAGACTTTCTTGTTAAACCCTGGATTTGTGCTGGAAATGGCCCACCTTGATTATCATACACGTTGTAAGGAGAGTGGTCACTTTAGATAAGCTATTACCAGCAGGAGAGTGGGTTTGTGTGTGTGGGGGCGGGAGGAGAAAACCTGGATTTGTGCTGGAAAGGCCCAACTTGATTATCATACACATTGTAAGGAGAGTGATCACTTTAGATAAGCTATTACCAGCAGGAGAGTGGGGTGGGAGGAGGTATTTTTTCATTATTTTTTCGTGCTTTGTGTGTATAAAAAGATCTTCTACACTTTCCACAGTATGCATCCGATGAAGTGAGCTGTAGCTCACGAAAGCTTATGCTCAAATAAATTGGTTAGTCTCCAAGGTGCCACAAGTACTCCTTTTCTTTTTGCGAATACAGACTAACACGGCTGTTACTCTAAAACCAATTTTATATCTGAAAAAGTTAGTGACCCAGCTCAAGAAGAGTTATAGACATAAATCTCTGGATATGCCTCAACCACCTCACAGTTATCACCCCTTACTTACCCTTCCAAAATGATTCAATATTAGGTCATGAGACCAAAGGCAAAGTGCTGGTAGATATGATGATATCATTCCCTTTACAACTATGCCCTCTTCAGTCTTAACGCATAGAGATTATACAGTATTTCAGCTATGAAGAAATAAAGGTCTAAACTCATCTAATTTCTTTAATGAGATGTAATAAGAGGTAGATTCTTTAGCAGAAGCAGTTAAATTTCAAGGGACCATTCAAGGTGAAGTGGCCCATTTATACCCCTCCAGTCACAGGGGGAAAAGGAAAGGGCACGGAAGCCAGCTGGAGGGGAGGGGTTGGCAGGGTCTGGTGTTGCTTTGAGTAGGTGGGTCCTTATCTGTGGAGGAACTTCCTTCTGATCATGACCTTTGAGAGGCTGGGAGGTTGTTTGAGGGCCAGAAGTGGGGGTTCAGAAAATATTTCTTTCAGGATGGGGGTCCCCATTGAGTATGGGTTCTAGTTGTTTGAGGACATACCGTAGGTGTGGGATGGTAAGACACATCTAGGGGTGTGTGGTCAGAGGGGGTTTTATTTCTGTATTGAAGCAGGTTCTCTTGGGGTATTTGGGTGGCCCATTCCATGATGCAATCTACTTCTTAGGTAGCATGTCCTTGTTTGGTGAAGGTGGTTTTAAGTATGTCAAGGTGTATATCCTGTACTTTCTCCTTGTAGCATATTTTGTGTATGGTATCTGAGTGCCTGGCCGTAAATAACTGATTTCCTAATGGTCTGGGGTGGTTACTGGACCCATCAAGGTAGGTATGGTGATCCATGGATTCCTTGTATATATTTGTCTGCAGGGTTTCATTGCTGAAGCTGATTGGGGTCTCTAGGAAGTTGAGGCTGGCGTGAGAGGGTTCCAAGGAAAGTTTAATGGATTGTGGTGTTTGTTGAAGTTGTGGTGGAAATCTAGGAGGAAGTTTTAAGTAGTCTGTCCAGAAGATGAAAACATTGACATATCTCAGGTATATAATTGATTTTGTGGTGCATTTGTCCAGAAATTCTTCTTCAATGTGGCCCATGAGGAGGTTGGCATATTGGGGAACCATCCTAGTGCCCGTGGCTCTTTCCATGGTTTGGACAAAGTGTTTGGCATTGAATGTAAAATTGTTATGGGTGAGGATGAAATGGATGAGTTTGGCGATGTGTTTGGGGTGGGGAACAACCCATCTGTGAGTTGTTCAGTCTTGTAAATATTTGAAGCAGGCAGAGCTGCCTTCATTGTGAGGGATGATGATACATAGGGAAGTGATGTCCATGATGGTGACTATGGTTTTCTGAGGGAAAGATTGTTAATGTTGTGGAGTAAGTTGGATATGTTCTGGAGGAAGCTGACCTGTTGTATGGTGAGTGGTTTTAGGACGGTTTCTTGGAGTCCAAATATTCCTTCAGTAAGAATGCTGTGGCCAGATATGATGGGTCTGCCTGGGCTCTCATTTGTGTATCTTGGAAAGCATGTAGAAGGTCCCTGAGGTGGTGTGACATATCCAGAGTACAATCTAGACTGATTAACAACTGTCACCTCAGCCTTCTTACCTGGGTGCCCTTTATACTGCTTTGCTGCTGTAGCTACCAATCCCGGTCTCCTTCCACAGAGCCTCCAGCATGTAAGTCATTCCCAGATAAATTGTCCTGCAACCAGCCACTCTTGAATTACACTGTAGGATAACAATAGCACATTCCAGGTCCCAGATATTTTCCCAGAAATGTGTGTCTTGAACTGCCCAACCTTCTTCTGGACAATACAAGCTCATATAAAGTCCACCAATTTTATTAATAGAAATGATATGAACAAATCCTGTTATCCCAAATGGATTTTCCCAAACAGTTCAATTCAAATAAACTTGTTTCATTGTTTTATCTAACCCAGTGTATTAACTACAAAGAGATTTTAAGTGAACACAAGTAATGAGACATAAAAGCCAGAATTGGTTAGAAGAAAAATAAAAATAAAACAAACTAATGCCTAACTTAAACTAGGATAAATTCAAAGCAAGGTCTCTCTCACCACATGTTTCAGCAGTTCTACTGGCTGAATGTCTACCAGTCAGGATCCCTCCCCCCCGTCCAACATTGCTTGCTTCCTTTGTTCTTCAGATATCATGAATGCTGTGGGCAGAGAGAAAGAGAAAGATCATTTGGGGCATACCCTCCCACCCATCCACCCACCCTCGTCTCTTTTTATAGCCCTCTCCCTCCTTTGAGAAGTTTCTCCAGCTAGGAGCAGGGTGCTAGGTACTGTCCCTGAAAAGGAACTCTATGCTGTTTGTTTGTTAAGATGTAGATTTTCGCTCGTGTCCCATTTCCTGCCAATGAATAGCCACTTGGGTCATCACCGGCTATTTGATTGTGTTTACACCTGGCTGAGGCATCAGCTTGCCCTTCCTCTTGGAGGAAAAGACAGTTACCTTTTCCATAACTGGTGTTCGAGATGTGTTGCTCATATCCATTCCATATTAGGTGTGTGTGCTCGCCACATGCGCCGGAAGTTTTTCCTTCAGCAGTATCCATGGGGGACCGGCTCTGGGGCCTCCTGGAGTGGTACCTGTATGGTATGGTATAAGGGACGCTGCCAGCTCCTCCCACCCTCTATTCCTTTTTGCCGGAAACTCCGACAGTAGGGAAGGAGGGCGGGTTATGGAATGGACGTGAGCAACGCATCTCAAAGAACACCAGTAACGGAAAAGGTAACTGTCTTTTCTTCGGGTGCTTGCTCATGTCCATTCCATATTAGGTAACTCCAAAGCAGTACCCCTGGAGACGCCTGTGCTCTCGTCAGATGGGCTTTGACAATCAGTGGCTCATAACAGATCCTTATGCGCGAGGTGATCCAATTGTAAATCCTCTCCGAGGACACCAGAAGGCAGGAAGGTGGGGCAGGAAGACTCTACACGCCAGCAGGACTGCTTGGAACTTTTTGACATTTATGTGCAACTTCACCTCCTCTGGGGACCACATCCTCTGTGTCTGGAGGTCACCAAGGTGTGCACCTCAACGTAAGTTCCTTGGTGTCCAACATCAACTCAATGGAGTGAGGGGGATTGTAGAACGGAGCCTTGTCCAGGACTGTCCCACAGTTGGTCCACCATTGCAGTGAGGTAAGTATTGCCTGGGGAATGGTAACGATCTTTTCCAGGGGGTCCTGGGACTGAGAATAGACTGTTCCCAGCCACTGCTACAGGGGCTGCATCTGGAGCCTGGCATGATGCACCACATAAGTGCATGCTGCCATGTGACCCAGCAGGTGCAGACAGACCCTGGCTGTGGTCAAAGGGAACACGGAGACTCCTGCGATGGAGGTTCGTCAATGGGTGGAACCTGTCTAGCGGCAGGAACACCCTGGAGCAGGTCGAGTCGAGGACTGCTCTGATGAACTCCTCTAAAGTTGACTTTTTGTCGTTCACCAGTAGGCCCAGAGTGGCATGTGGCTTGAAGCAGGGCAACATCCCTTTGGACTTGAGACCTGGAGCTGCCTTTGATGAGCCAGTCATCGAGTTATGGGTAGATCTGGATACCCCAGATCCCTAAGTAAGCCGCTACCACCAACATGCACTTGGTAAACACTCTCGGTGCTGTCACCAGGCCGAATGGGAGGACAACAGACTGGTAGTGGTGGGGCCCCATCATAAACCAGAGGAAGCATCTGTGTCTTTGAAAGATCGCTATGTGGAAGTATGCATCCTTCAGGTCGAGGGAAGCATACCAATCTTCTGGATCCAGGCAAGGTGTAATAGAAGCCAGGGAGACCATGCAGAACTTT